TAAGGGATTTGTCACTCAATTTTTAGCTCAGATATGCCTTTACACGTAGTATTAAGCATTTTATTTATTCGTATATATTTTTAATAGTACTGTGTGTTGCTATGTTGCCCAGGCTGGTCTCAGACGCTGAACACAAGTGATCCTCCTGCATTGGCCTTCCAAAGTGTTAGAATTACAGGTGTGAGCCACCGCGCCTGGCTAATGAAGCATTTTAGAGGCAAATTGTGCCACTTCTACTATCTGGTTTTGGTTTAACTTTGGGGTCCTGTTTAACTCTATTTTTTTCACTGTGGTCTTTTTTTTTTTTTTCTTAAGTTTGCTTCTTAGAAAATTTCACATAACTTGTTTTCTGTAACAGTTTATCATTTAATATAAAATTTCTTCTAGACAAACACCAGAAGTTGAAAAGACACAAAGTATGAAATAAATCCTCAAACTAGAGTAGTTAGGGTAAAGAATTATAAATCTGGGGCTTTTCAAATAGCTTTTTTTCCGTCTCAGTCAGAAACTTGAAAGCAGTCACTCTGTCTTCCCTGACTCAGTTTCCCCACAAGTGAAAAGGACATAATAGTCCTCAGTGACTAGTTAGGATCCTTGATCGTGAACTGTGAATGGCTGGAAACATGGAAGGCTAATATTATTCCACTATTGTATGGGAGAGGCATCATGTGAATTAGTGGGAACCACCTTTATCAATGAAGAAAAAAATCACTTGATGATTTGTAGGAATCTGGGGAGAATGCTCAGAATTTGTGGCTGAAACTTCTCTTAGGAAAAGAGAGAGAGAGATTGAGCGAGAGTGAGAGAGAGACAGAGAGAGAGAGAGAGAGAGAGAGAAAGCGAGAGGCACATGCTAGAACAAAGCTCTTTTGATTTGTTCCTGGGAGTGGCTGGGTGTGTCAAATCATCCCTCAGCCTGGATGCTGAGTAATCAAGTTACAATATTTGCAGAGCTTCAACCTATAGGTAAGAAAAAGCCCCAACAAAACAGTCTCCTAGGTTATTAAATATTTGGTCCAATGATTACTTGTGTTGAACTAGAGGAAGTTATTGCTTCATAAAATTGTACAATGAATGAATGAATAATTCATTCTTTGAGCTATGTATCTCCCCTTCAAAAAACCTGCTCTTTTTAATATACAGTCAATAAAATGGTTTTTGTGGCAAATAAAAAGAGGGGAAAACATTAGGGATTATTTTTGACATTATAGAGCGAATGCTTTTTCCTACAAACAGGTGTATTCTTTTTCCCTAAATATTTTTTTAAAAAATCATTTATTTGAAGGGGCACCGTGGCTAATGCCTGTAATCCTAGCACTTTGGGAGGCTGAGGTGGGCAGATCAAGAGGTCAGGAGATCAAGACCATCCTGGCCAACATGGTGAAACTCCGTCCCTACTAAAAATACAAAAATTAACCAGGCGTGGTGGCGGGCGCCTGTAATCCCAGCTACTCGGGAGGCTGAGGCAGGAGAATCGCTTGAACCTGGGAGGTGGAGGTTGCAGTGAGCTGAGATCGTGCCACTGCACTCCAGCCTGGGCAACAGAGTGAGACTCCGTCTCAAAAAAAAAAAAATCATTTATTTTACAAATATAAAGTGTTTGGGATGAATCAGATGCACTGGTCTTCAGTACATACAAAGATAACTGGAGGAAAGGTAGCTGGTATTTAAGGAAATATCAAACTGACTTCAAATTTATGGGCTGAATTCATCCTTAGTTGAATTACTGTCAGTAGCGTTATTTCCCACTCATTCATTCTCTACCCACTATGTGCCAGGTACCCATTATGTGCCAGATACTACTCTAAGTTCTTGGACTACCTCAGTGAATAAAACAGACCAAAAAAACCTGCTTAGATTTTAGCTGAAGGAGGCCATCAACAGTAAACATAATAAGTGAATTGCATAGTATATCATATCATATAGAAAACTTTAAAATCTGGCTTTATATCTGCTTCTTATAGGTTCAAATTTCATCAGGAAGAAGGGAGATCAAAAATACTTGAGAGTTGACTATTCATGGGCCCACATAAAAAGCTTTTCATGAGGCAAGAGACTGAAGATTGTAACAGGATAATAACACCTGTAAAATAGCTTTGTTATTTTGATATTGTTGCTGTCTGAGTTATTAGTATGAGTAGAATCTTTTTTCTTATAAGTCTGATGCTTCTAAGTCCACATGTTAACATGATTGACATGACAACTTTGTTCTTTCCAGGCATTTCCTTCAGGATGTATGTATTTTTTTTTTTTTTTAACAGTATAACAATTAGTGTAGGTATCTGACTTACAGAAATGCAAAGCTAAACTGTAGTTGGCTTGAGATCCATAGTTAGGTCTTATTCTGGGTCTTGCCCAGGGTCTGACAAACTCAACAAATGCTTATTCAGTCAATCACAGACTCCAATCAAAATGTCTAGTTAAAACAGGGAAGCAGAGTAGAAACCTGTTGAATGCAGAAGACATTCTTGAGGCCACTCTTTCCTAAAATTCATCAGCAGGCATGTTCTCCAGAAACTAATTTGAAATTGTGTAATTTAAAAAACGTGAACTACTTGTATAACGCCATCTTCTCCCACTTTTCTGTTTTCTAGTGTCTTTTTAGATAGAATTCTAAAGAACTTAAAATTATGGCTGCCGTGGAAAAGAATATTACTGGGAAACGGGTCTTCTCAGTCAAATAGAATCACACTTTTAATACTCTTACCACTGAATGGGAACCACTTTTTTTTTTTCCTACTGTTCTGCCTAAATCAACAATGTGTTTTGTCAATGATGTTATACCTGAGACTTGTGAGTCCTTGCCTTACTTGGGTTCAGTGAGAGAGTGAGAACATTTGGGTACAGGGTCTGACCTCCAGAGATACTTCAACAAGTGAAAACTTTTGACAGGGAATGTTCTGTTTAATCTTTTGTTAACATACCTGTCCAATATACCTTGTGTCATCCCAGCTCTGGACCTCCATTCTCAGGCTTAAATGGTCTCCCGATGTCCGATGACGTTGCCTCCGTGGTCCTTCCCCAGTCATAGCCAGACTGAAAAGGTTACACTCATCTCTGAACTCCTTTTGTCCTTTGCACCTCTCTTATGTCCCTTATTACAAGCCTCCAGATATTTTCTTTTGTTTCTTATCCTACTGTACCCTTTGGGGAAAGGGAACATGTCTTATAGCCCCAGTCAAATGGTGCCTCTACCTTTCATACAGTTAGAATCACCCAAAGGCATTTCGTTTGGACTTCCTTGGGTGTCGTTGAATTCCTGTCATTGGAAATGTTTCTGCCCAGGCTGAGCAAGCACTGAACAGGAGTGTTTTAGAGGGAATTAAAACATCAAAAAGGAGAATAGAGAAGCTCTACCATTTAAGTGCAAGTCCCTTGAAATCTGTAGACCACAGTAGCAAGCACGAAGCAGGTGTTCAATAAATGTGGTGAATTCAATGTCAATAACAGCTCCAGCCTTTTGTCCACTATTCCCCGGGCCTGCCTAACTAATGGGCAAAGTGGTATTAATTGCCATCATTAGGAAGCACATGCTATGTGCCAGAAACTATGTAAGAATTGTCTCTTCATCCATCTCTGTCTGTATCTCATTTTACAGATTTTATGACAAATGAGGACTATATACAGACAAATTTTACAGATGAGGAATCTGAAGCTAAAGAGATTAAGCAATTTGCTCAGGATTTCTCAAGCAATGAGTGGTTAGATTTAGTTTGCAAATTTATGACTCTGCTCCTAAATTCTCATTTTCCCTCCTACAGCTGGATAATAGAATTTTTAAGAAGCATCTTTCCACACCTCCTCACCTATGACCTTCCCTCCACTTGCTCCACTGATGCCTAAAATTCTGTTTTTGGAGTTCACTTAGTTTATGACTTTGATCCCGGTTAACATTAAAATACCCAGGACACGGGGGAGGGGAAGCTGTTGATCAATGTTAGTTTAGTAAGTTAGTATAGCGAGTTGCTCTTATTCATTAGTCAACAAGCACTTATTGACTGCACACTGTACATCAAGACTGTACCAAGTGTTGGTGTTATAAAAATGAACGAAGCTTGGCCCTTACCTTTAAAATTGTTGTAGTCACATATAGGATAATGTAAGAGATTATTATGAAACAATGTAGTAAACGCACAACAGGGAATTCTAGATACGCAGAGCAGAAAAGCAACCAGATCAGTTTCAGGTCCTTTCCTGAGACTGATTCGGCTGGAAGGGAGTAGGTCCCACCAAATGGAGCTGTGGGAAGACAGGAGGACAAAAGCAGGCTCCGCAAAGAGATTTCAGAGCAGAGTTGCATACTCCTTTTTCATTTTGTTTCTTTTGCTCTGTTACCCAGGCTGAAGTACAGTGGTTAGCTCACGGCTCACTGCAGCTTTGCCCTCCCAGGCTCAAGCGATCCTCCCATCTCAGCTTCCCAGGTAACTGGGACCACAGGCATGCGCCACCACACTAGGCTATTGTTTTGCATTTTTTGTATAGATGGGATCTCACCATGATGCCCAGGTTGGTCACAAACTCCTGGGCTCAAGCGATCTGCTCACCTCAACCTCCCAGAATGCTGGGATTACAGGTGTGAGCCACCACACCAGGCCTGAGTAATCCTAATCACAGGATTTTAAAAAGAAACTTCCTGCGCCACCCATTAACCATATCTCCCATCACTTTGGTAGTAAATATTTTGCTAATAGTACCTAATTTTTAAGTAGGCACTGTGTTTATACATATATCCATTTCTTCTTTTTTAAATTGCCTTTTGGTTTAATGGGCAGCTACCTCTTTTGGCATCTAGCAGAATGAGCTGCTGCAGTTTACACAAAAAGAATGGAGATCAGAGTACTTTTTGTGCCACCAACGTGTTTGAGAAATGTGTAGTATTACTATCATCACACATTCCTTTTATTTCATTTAATGTTTCACCTTCCGGTCCTGCGTGGGCTGAGAGGATTGCTGTACGCATGTCTGTACGTATGCATATAGCTCACAGCCCCTTCCTGCCCGAACATGTTGGAGGCCTTTTGGAAGCTGTGCAGACAACAGCAACTTCAGCCTGAATCATTTCTTTCAATTGTGGACAAGCTGCCAAAAGGCTTGAGTAAGAGCGGAGTGCTGCTGAGGCGGGGCGGGGCGGGGCGTGGCGCTGGGCTGGCACAGTGGGCGTGGCGGTGCTGCCCAGGTGAGCCACCACTGCTTCTGCCCAGACACGGTCGCCTCCACATCCAGGTCTTTGTGCTCCTCACTTGCCTGTTACTTTTCCACGCATTTTCCAGGATAACTGTGACTCCAGGTAAGCAAGGTGGGGTAGCAGGGCTGGTGATTTCCTTTTTCAGGAAAATTCATAAAAATCATTATTTGAGCTGATTTGAGACAGTGAACAAAATGGACATAAAGGGGCTGTTTTCAAAGGTGGGCTGTCGGGTTGAGTACTATCGCCTGTCATCCCTCATACTGGCAATAGTTCCAGCTCCCAATCCTTTGGACTCCCTATATGGAAAACCATATAGGGAGTCAAATCACTTAACCATACAAGGTAAGAATATGAAGAAGTCACATGGCTCGGAGGTTTTGGTGGTAGAAGGGTGCAACCGTGATTCACGGAGGAGAAAATACTTCTGAGGACATTTTCAGGCCTACCTTGGAACTCAGAATGAATTTTGCAATGCTAGTTTCAGAGAGGGGATGGTGCCCGCAAACCGGGAAAGTTGAGAAGGATTGATGTGTCTGGTTGGCTCTTCTCCCTGGCTGACATTGTAAGGCTGAGATTTAGGCATATGGACTGCCCTTCTTTTTGGCATTTTAAAACATCAGATCACTGTTTATCTACTTGCAACTATATTCGTCTAAGCGGAAATTATTCTCCCTCCAGTTTTCTGGGTTTCAGCATAGCTTGAACTTATAAATTGGGCTTAAATTGGGCTGCTTGTAGTTTCTTACTCATACGCTGTATGCTTTTTTTTTATGGCTTCATTTAAGCATATCATACTAAAAACCAACATGCCAGGCTATTCCAGAGACTCATAATCAGATCCTCGGAGCTGGGGGCTCTTAGACAGGTTTCAGCCCAGCCCCCTCATTCTGTAGATGAGGAGCAGAACTCACAGGGGTGACGTGGTGTCCAAAGTCACACCGCCTGTAAGTGGCACTGCTGAGATCGAATCAGGCCTTCAGGCTTGCAGCTCGGGATGTTTCCACAATACCATGGGTTCTGTTACCATCTTTTTCACCCCCTACATCTCCTGAGAGGTTTTCAATAATGGGTTCCAAACCTCAGTCCCCACCAGTGAGTGTAAGTGTTTGATGAGTTCCTTCATGGGTGGGGATGAAGCCTGTCTGAGGAAAGGAGTCTCCAAAGGAAATGAGTCAGCAGGTTTATATCTTTGCTTCCTAACGCCTTGAATTTTGCCACTTCAATCCCTCTAGGTTGCGGATTGACTTTGGGGCTATGCAGTCTCAGCGATTTGGGGCATTCTGGTGTGGCTGAGTCTGGCTGTAAGTTTACTGCTTGGCAACAGTGGGCTGGGTCAGTGGTCAAGGTCAGGCTTCTAAAGAGACAGGAGCAGCTATGATGCTTCAGAGCAAAGCAGACACCCCCCTGCCATGGGAAATTAAAGCAATTAATCTCATTACTAATAGCTGTGTTGTACTTTCTTGCCCACAAAGCACTTTTCATATACATTGATTCACTTAATCACTTCGTTTAGTCCTCATATTCTTTCACATTGCAGACACTACAAAATATCCTGTTTTCTTAATCCTGCACATCCTCTGCTCCTCAAAGACTTAGAATGTGGACAACGGAGGTTGTGTTTTTTTGGCATTCCATCACTGATATTATAATAGGCAAGGTTTCTCATGGCATTCCCTAAGGACCAGTTATACCAAATACTCAGGAGATGCTTTTCACCATGTCTCTCCATCTCTAAAATGAGGCAGGCTGGGCTAAGTGATATCTACAATACTCTCACACAGCAAAAAGGTAGGTTTTTTTTTTTTTTTCTTTTTCTGGAGATGGAGTCTTGCTCTGTCACCCACGCTGGAGTGCAGTGGCACGATCTTGGCTCACTGCAACCTCAGTCTCCCATGTTCAAGTGATTTTTCTGCCTCAGCCTCCCAAGTAGTTGGGATGACAGGTATGTGCTGCCACGCCACTCCCGGCTAATTTCTGTATTTTTAGTAGACACAGGGTTTCACCATGTTGGCCAGGCTGGTCTCGAACTCCTGACCTCAAGTGATCCGCCCACCTTGGCCTCCCAAAGTGCTGGGATTACAGGCGTGAACCACTGTGCCCAGCCAAAAGTTAGTTTTTAAGGGATGAAAAACTATGTTCATACCTCCATTTAAATATGCACACCCGTGATGTGTGGTTGAAGAGTGTGGTTGATGGTCTATAAGTAAAATGAACATATATTGTTCAAATCAGGATATGTTTGAGAGTAAATGGGGCACTGTTATTAATGTCAAGACAACAAACATAAACCAGGATTGTCCCAGGCAAAGTGGGATATATAGCAAACCTAACCACAGGACTTTTTTTTTCACCCAAATGGTCTAAAGACAAAAAAATTTGAGGGCCATTGGCTCAGACACATAAAAATCTTAAGAAATCTTGATACAAAGACCAGTGACAAGCTATAAGTCTAGAGAAGTGAGCACAGCCCCTACCCTCAGCCCAGTACATGTGTCTCTATTCATTGGGGCCACTTGCAGTCTCTGAATTGAGTCAGTTCTCCCTGTCCCGCAGTTTTGCAAGGCTAACTTCTACTTATCCTGGAGGATTCAACTTTAGTGTGACTTACTCAGCTGTCACTGTCTCTGAGAAGGTGTCACTGAGGTTTCTAGTATGGGGGAGTCTGTCACTGCTGGGGATCCCATAGTGACTTGTGTACTCATCAAAACACTTACAACATTCATCAGGGCACTAACTGACAACTCCTTGGAGGCAGGGGCCATGTCGTGTTCACCTTTGTTTTCTTAATGCCTACCCTGACACACATTAGGTACTCAGTTAATACTTATGAGATGAAAGCAACATCATACCAAGGGTTTACAACGTAAGTGGCAGAAAGGGAACAAGGGCTTCTTCAAGTAGAAAAATCACTGGGAAGAAGTTTTGCGATGATTAAACAAACCATGCAGGATATGTTGATATCTTCAGGAGAGACTTCAGGACATGTTGGATTTTTGGAACTCGAGAGACTTCTGAGAGAACAAAGGCCAGCAAAGATGCAATTACCAAGAAAGCAGGTGGTAAGGTGTGGCGGGGAAGTGCCAGGCTGGGAGCTAGAAGCAATGAATTCTAGGTCTGGTTTTGCCACTCTCACTCCCTGCGTGGGTGGCCTGGGAGACTCACTTCATCTTTGTCTGCCTCACTTTCCTCATCTGTAAAACGAAGAGGTGTGGCCAGCCTAGATCCTCTCCAAGATCTTGTCCCACTTTCAAGGTTTATAATTTAGCACAGATTGTGAAAGCAAGCTACTTGGAAATAAGTTCTTAAAACTGCATTTGTATTACTACTTAAACTTCCGTCTCACTGTTCTGTGGTTAAAATAAAGTTCCTTTTTAAACTTTTAAGTGCCTGAAAGATGTAGCGTTTTCTACATTGCAACTATAAACGAAGTTCTCCTTGTCAAAATGGTTACAGGGTTTTCACAGAAATGGAAGAAGGCCCTTGTGACAAGGCAATAAAATGGAACAAAACTTGTAGCAATTTTAACACTTTCAACAGAAGTCATTAGGCACATACATTTACCATACAGGAATTGCTAATCTCTACTCTGGTACTTACAATTTTTATAGCATTCGATCATGCAAAATGGTCTGTGTAGAAGTTTGTATTTTTTCCAGGGCATGTATTGCTAACATTGCTGAGGTTTGTTTAAATGCTTTGACTGTCTTGCAACACTGTCGTGTGGCGATTGTGGCCAAAGTCATCTTTTGAGCTACCTCAGACCAGATCAACTTTATAGTGTTTTTAGGTCACTTGGGACTAATCACAGAGCCACTGATCAGATTTACCAGGAAATATTTGATTGATTACTTAGTGGGTGATTTTTTGCCACTACAACCATTTCCATGTACAGACCTTTTCTGTTGCCTCTGGCCAGCATCAAACAACGCTGTGGCGGCTGGGACCGCAGATACTAAGGGCTGTATGACCTTCCCAGAAATGAAGGAGAATTTTCTGAAAAAGGAACCAGTCAGCATAGGAACAGGAAGGCAGATCTCTTTGTGTTCATGCACTGATGAAAGCAACATCATACCAAGAGTTTACAACGTAAGCGGCAGAAAGGGAACAAGGGCTTCTTCAAGTAGGAAAACCATAGGGAAGAAGTTTTGTGTCGATTAAACAAACCATGCGAATATGTTTTTTGTTTTTTGTTTTTTGTTTTTTTTTTTTTGAGACGGAGTCTCACTCTGTCCCCCTGGCTGGAGTGCAGTGGCCGGATCTCAGCTCACTGCAAGCTCCGCCTCCCGGGTTCAGGCCATTCTCCTGGCTCAGCCTCCCAAGTAGCTGGGACTACAGG